GGGCCCTTGCGAGGCGCGCGGCGCGCCCCCTCTCTCAAACCTAACTTTACCAAGCGGATGGCGCCTACTCGTCGACCTGAATCGTCACAGGCTCCGGGCCGCCACCGCCAGAGGCTCCCTGGAGACCCTCGGCCTCCTCCTGATCCTGAACATCCTCATCTCCTGTGGGCGGAGCCGCGCCCACAACCGCAGCAGCGGCTTCGGCCTCGAAGCTCCTGACCTCATTCACGAACTTGATGGCCTGTTTCGTCGCCTCCGAGGGCCTGCCCGTCGCGGACTCGATCTCATCCCCGTACTTCTTCATGATGTCCAGCGCCTTGGAGTCCTTGGCGTTGAAGAGCGACAGTTTGAAGCCGTAGCAGTCCTCGCCGTTGTTGATGCGCTCTGCGCAGATGGAGCCTGCTGGGAGGTAGATCGCCTCCCAGGGGCCGACCGTTCCCCACCACATCATGCGGCCAGAGTTCACGAAGTCCTGAGGGCCGAGAGCAGTGCCGCTCTATCCCATCTGCCTCCCTCTCCTAGCCGCGCTCACTCGGGACGGGGGGCGGGCGGGGGGCAAAGTGGCAGAAGCCATGGGGCCACCCCCCCGCCCGCTAGCTTCCCATCCTAAAAGAGCAGGGCTGCGAGAGGAGAGACGTGAGCAGGAAAGAGTCGCACTTAGTGAAGGAGAGAAGCGGAGGGGTCGGAGGCGAGGAAAGCAGGAAAGAGGGATCTACGACTCAGGAGGCTTCCAGAAGGCCCTGGGGCCCTGATGTCCAGTCCTCGACGTCTGCTGCAATTGCAGACTTGATGAACTCGATGGACATTTTCGTCGTGACGTCGCTCTGCCCCTTCGTCTCCACCAGGAACGAGATGACCTCGTCAACCCTGCACGCAACGATGGTACGCGTGCCACCCACTTGCCCCCGCAAGGTGGGTAAAGCTGAGGGCTCGACCCGGCAGTCCTGCACGCCCGCTGCGATGGCAAAGCACCCGAGGCCCGCGACATTGTAGAGCTGGCGGTTCTCCGCAGCCTTCGGCGCGGGCACGTTCCGGAAGCCGGCTTTGTCCAACTGGCAGTAGTTGAGGAACCAATCCATCACGACGGTTTCGCACTCCTCGTCTGGCAAAGGGCTGACGGCCCTGCCTATCGTAAGCCTCAGGTCCGAGGCGCGGAACTCCTCCTTGAAGCCCTCAATCTCCTCAGATAAAGTCGCCGTGCCCTTATTCAAAGAAGTCGCACTCTCCTCCCAACGATCCTGCTCCTCCTGGTTGTCGAACTGCATCTCGCTCCGCTCGCGGCCCACCCGAGACTCCAAGTGGGCAGGCGACACGTGGAAGGGCAACAGCAATGGCTTTTCAGGGTCAATGCTATCACAAGGGCTGGTGCCGAGGTCGCCGTCGTGCTTCGTTGCGAACGCGACCAGGGCATCGATGGGGATGTTCGGTATGGAGAACATGTCACGGCCTCCAGGCAGGTCGACGTCGAAGATGGGATAGGTCTGAATCTGAGACTGTTTTGCCTTCTTGGTCGCTGGCCCGTTTCCAGCGCCGCTCGCAGCATTCGCCTCTTTCTGCCGCTTCTTGCGCGCCTCCTCAGCCGCCTTCGCTTCTAACGTGCGTCTCTTGTGGAGCATAGTGCGGGCAGAGTACAAGTCGCTCACGCCAGTGGAACAGAACTTGAGCAAGTTCGGGATGGCCGAGTATTGATCGGAGATCTCAGTCTTGCGGGATTTCACGTCCTCGTCCGACTGGCAATCGTTGAAGTCGACCTTCCCTTTGGCCTGGGCGATGGTGATCAGATCCTTGTACCGAGGACATGGCCCAGCAGAGTTGATCGGATTCGTGTCGTGGGAAGATCGGATAGAGCTGCGGTCCAAGGACTCGCTGGCAATCCGGTCTGCTGCGCCAGCAGCAGTCTCCACGTTCGCGATGTACCTGGGAAGCGGGCAAAGCAAAGGCCGAAACAACTCTCACAGAGATTACATCCAGCATCCAGCATCCCTCTAGCCGATCCTGGTCTCCTTTCCTCCTAACCTCTGCCTCCCTCTCCTCCGACTTCCGATGCCTCCTCCACCTCCGCTCCCCTTTTCGGACGGGCACGTCTTGAGCTTGGAGGGGTCCAGGCTGAGCACGTGGCCCAGCGCTTCGAGGCGGTTCTTCACAGTCTTGATCTCGCTCGAGAACTTGTCTTTGTCGGGGTCTTTGGCGAAGTCCTCCAGCGCTGCCTCCATGTCCTTCATACGGCTAGCAGCAGTTGTCTCGAGCTTCCCCACATCCCACAGGCAGTCCCGGTTAGCCTTGTTGATCTTCTGAGGCCCAGTGCCGTTGAGCCACTCCTCTGCGGAAACCTTCTTCGGGGTTATGCCTTTGCCCTGGTTGGACTCGTCGGCCTTCGAAGTTCGATTCGAAGTCTTCTCCTCGTCACTGCAGTCCTCGGTATCATCATGTGCGGCGGCCTTCTTCTTCCCCTTGACCTGGTCATGAAGATTCTGTAGAGATGGTGCCATCATACCTTCGGCCCCAAGTGCGGTTACAGTTCCAGATGATGAGGACGCTGACGTCATCATTGCCTTCAAGGCTTTGGACTTCTCGTCCTGGCCGAAGTTGAGGAGGTTGTCTTCCACGTCCATGCCGCCAGTCGCTTGGTTCATCAAGCTCTTCGCCGTGGCTTCGTCACACTTCTTGATCGCCTTCCCAGAAGCCTCGACCGATTTCTTCTTGCCCATCGCCTCCTTGTCACTGATGTACTTGCCCTTCTTGACCAAACACTGCGTGTAGCCTCGAGGCCCGTCTTCGTCTTTGGGGTGATCCGGATCTTCCATCCACTTCTTCCATTGTGCCTCGTACTCGTCTTTGGTCAGAAACCCTCCCTCTGCACTCTGGGCAAATTCGCGGTACTCACCTTCCCACATCATTTTGCCCATTTTGTTCGACTCGACCTCTGCCCTGGTATACATCTCCTCCTTGTACTGGACAAGGTTAAACTCCCTTCGGCCCTGGGCGTTCGGGACCACCTTCATGACAACCTTCTTGAGCTTCGCGTACTCGGCCGGCTTCTTGTTCTTCAAATCCTTCAACCAGGAAGTGAGACCTTGCCTCTCAGCCATTCCCATCATTTGACGGTCCTCTTTGCGGCAAACCTTGCAGTCGTTCTGACTCTCGTAGAACTCCTTGATGCTCTTCTCTTTCTTGCACGACCCGCAAGCCTTGGTCTTGCCACCGTCCTCGCCGTCAGCGTCACCCTGGCCAGCGTCATCATCGTCACCGTTCCTCGACACCTTTGACTTACGTCGCCCCTTCCCCTTGCCGCCCTTACGGCCGCCCTTGCCTCGGCCGCCGCCCCCGGCTTCATCATGCCCAACGCCATGCCCGTCCCCAGCCGCTCCTGGCTCGTGGGGGACCTCAGCAGGCGCATCATCAGGCAAATCAGAGTTCTCGAGGAAGAGCTTTGGCCTTGACGCGCGAGGCAGGCGGCCGACACCTGCCGAGCTTTTCGGCCGCGGTTGCACAAATGAGGGCGCTTGCCCCTCCATCGAGGCGTCGAGGAGCCGCGGGGAGGCGTGGCCAGGTGCCAACGTGCTCCGAACCTCAGCTGCCAGAGGGCAGCCGCTAAGCCAAACGACGGCTACGTATCTTGGATGATGATGCCGATGATGATGATGATGATGGTGATCGTGAGCTGTAAGGTGATGGCGGCGATGGTCATGATGATGACGATGTTAATGGGATGGAGGGTGGTGGGGGTCCCAGGTCTTGACTAACACCTGCATTGAAGCCTAGGCGTGCGTGACAGAAGCCAATTGACGCCAACAATCCTGGGCGCATCCTGGGCATGATACCTAGATGAGGGCTTACAGTTTAGACTGGTTGGATAGGGCATCCGAGAGACACGAGACTCCGAGGGCACCGTGGCCGGCAAGATCCAGCGGGCTAATCTGGGGAACAAGGCGGGGTTGACAGGGCGCGAGTCGCGAGGTTACGTTTTATTCTAACAGGGTCGACATACCAATCGGGGCCCATGCCATTAGCTATGGTTGGGTCTTTACTTTTCAGAAGCGGAAGCTGCGAAACTAAACTTCAAGTGAGCTGCGGCTTACTGGGCCCTCTCAGTGAATGCCAAGAGGAAACAAACGCATGCTCCAACCGCTGCTACGTGCATTGAATTCCCTCCCATACTCCTTAACTGACGCGGTCGAAATTCATCTCTGAGCACGGCTTCTTTGAAGGGACATTGGTATGAAGCATCTGCACTACTGAACAAAGCCATGCCTTGCGCTTCTACTGCTTCCTCTGGCAACTGTTCGCGGGACAAGCTCATGGACCACAAATTCGAACGCTGCATCAAAGCGGGGACGTAGCGCGGGGTTCCGCCAAACCAGTGGGCATTCTGGGACAAATTACAAAGATACGGGGTCCGATGAGGCAGAAGGCCCCGCTTGCGAATTGCAGACTCATATGACTCGAGGCGAAACCGCTTCCCTACTCCGAGCAGCTGCCGATTGTGCCACTGTAAGCCACCTGCCCGAGTTGCTGGCAGTCCGCGCTCCAGCGCTAAGGTTGCCAAGAATGCGTTTACTTTGCTGTGCGGCGCCCGAAAATACACTTGGCCTAAACAGGCGGGCGTTGCGCCGAACAATTCCAGGAATGATGCAGCGGGGTCTTCCTCGACCTTTGGAATCCATCGCAGAGATGAGCGTTTCAAAATGATCATGTACTTGCGAATCCTAGAGACTGGGATGCCCAACTGGTGTGGGCTAACAACAATTGGATAAACATCGTGAGTTGTTCCAACTATTGCCGCTAATGTATGATGGTCAAATCCAATCGTGCACTCGCAAATTGCCCAATCAGGGGAAGAAATCAAAAAGTCCCGCGCCCACTGCATGAAGCAACATGCACTGCTCCCGCTCCAACCTTTTTTCAATCCAATGAAAGACACTGTGGTGCACGAGAAACCAGCGAAATGCCCAATCAAATGCGAACCTGACGAAGGATGCACCCTGCAATCGCACTTATGCCTATAGCAGTATGCCTTGTACTGGTTCAGCTGGATGGCGCCGACGTCCGCCAGCATGAACTGTTTCACCTGGGAGGGCGGGGCACGGGGCACGTGGCTCGAACAGACACGCATGCCACGCATCATGTTTGAGTTTGTTGCAAAGGAAGGATCAAGCAAGGGAGGATGAATTCTATTAGGGAGGGCATCAGACATCACGACACCACTAGGGGAACAATGAAAGGTGACAACGCGTCACCTCTTCGATCAAAGCCGTACCGACTTCATTGTACACGTCCTTGGCCAGTTCGCCAGACTTGGTCCTCTCGGCAGCCTCTGATGACGATCGGTCCGCGGCCTCCGTCATCCTCCTCAGCAGCTCGGGCGGCGTGCGGTCTAACATGTCCCCCATGACGCACGCTGGGGCGCTGCCCGGGCAGTGAGCAAGGAGCGCCTTCCTGCAATGAGCCTCGATGTCACAGGCTCGTTCGCACGAAATCCGGCCTGGGTGAACCTCTGGCTTGAAACGTCGCAGCCCCTTCAGTAAGTGATGCACTGCTGTGGAGCCTGATCCCCACCCAGCATAATCCTCTGTATACAAAAAACCCTGCGCCACTTTCTCTGAAAGCAACTCGAGCGCCCGCCCCGGAAGACGATGCAAGAACTTGTCTGGCCAGCGGAAGGTCTCTTCAACGCAGGACGCCCCGGGCCTTTGCCAGCTGGCCACTGGATCATTGCAGCAACTGGTTGGCCCTACGCCCAAGGTGATCCCGATATCCCCATCGGGTCGTAAACTTTTGCGCTTCATCGGTGGGGTGTGAAAGCGCCACTTGAGCCAGAACAACCATTGTGACGCAGCTCTTCACGGGGTTGGGGCCCATTGCGGCCATTGCGTGGGAGGGGGCGCCGGGCGCAAATATCACGTGGGCGTCGCCTCTGGGCAATGGATGTTTCAAGGATGTTTGTGCTGGGTTTTGTGCTGGCGTCAAATTTTCTCTCTTGTTTGCGACGCCGTATCGCGCAGCTTTGCGCGCGTGATGAAATTGTTGTGAGTTGTTTTGCTGGCGTTGTCTCCAGACAAAGGGTAGCACCTGTAGCATGTACCAACATATTGAACTGAAACAGGCTACAACGCTGGGGTCTGTGCACGATTGGTTTAGGGTGTTTAGGGTTTAGGGTGTTTAGGGCTTAGGGTGATTAGGTTTAGGGTGCTTAAGGGTTTAGGGTGTTTAGGGTTTAGGGTGTTTAGGGTTTAGGGTGTGTAGGGTTTAGGGTGTTTGAGGTTTAGGGTGCTTAGGAGCAGATCCGCTGCACTTAAGGGCCCCTTAAGTGCAGCGGGCTGTCTTGGCCTCCGGGAGCCCCCCCCCCCCCAAAGGAGGAGCAGACCCGCTGCTGCACTTAAGGGCCCCTTAAGTGCAGCGGGCTGTCTTGGCCTCCGGGAGCCCCCCCGAAAGAGGAGCAGATCCGCTGCACTCAAGGGCCCCTTAAGTGCAGCGGGCTGTCTTGGCCTCCGGGAGCCCCCCCGAAGGAGGAGCAGATCCGCTGCACTTAAGAGCCCCTGAAGCACAGCGGGCTGCCTTGGCCTCCGGGAGCCCCCCCGAAGGAGGAGCAGATCCGCTGCACTTAAGGGCCCCTTAAGTGCAGCGGGCTGTCTTGGCCTCCGGGAGCCCCTCCGAAGGAGGAGCAGATCCGCTGCACTTAAGGGCCCCTTAAGTGCAGCGGGCTGTCTTGGCCTCCGGCAGCCCCCTAAACCCTAAACCCCTAAACCCTAAACCCTAAACCCTAAACCCTAAACCCTAAACCCTAAACCCTAAACTGCAGGCGCGGCCCTGGGGGCGCGCATCGCCACGCCTGTAAGGATCTGCTAGTGAGAGCGAGCTGCCAGTCGAGCTCACCGCCACAATCGGCCTGCCGGCCTGAGGCTGTGTCTCGCTCAGAAACACATAACCCCTAACCCGGGGCCGGATGCTCCCAAATCGCGGCCGGCCCTGGTGAGTTTAGGGTATTGGGCCGCGGGTTTAGGCTTTCCCTTAAAAACCATTGGATTTCCTTAGAAACTGCCCCAGGACGCTTGGCTTCGCTACGGAAGCGCGCTGCGGCGCTTAGATAGCCGAAATCGTAAAATTAGCGCTTGGGTTTGCCCGCCGCCGCGCTGGTCCCCCTTGTCGCGCTCGCATGCAGCCTCTCTGATATCCAAGCACTTGTATCGGCGCTTAAAAACCTCCGGATTTGCTTAAAACTGACCCCAGAACGCTTGGTTTCTCTGGAAGAGCGCGCTGGGGCAGGTTTTATTGCCGAAGGCGTAAATCCAATGGTCCAAAGGTTCTGTGCGTCCGCCGGCCAAAATCCTCCCTGATGCCGGCATCACGGAGGCTTCTGGGGGCTACCCACAACGAGCTCCCCCGGGCTCCTTGGCTCCTTGTGGGCTCCCATAACGAGCTCCCCCAGGCTCCTTGTGGGCTCCCACAACGAGACCCCCTTCCCCCCAGAGCTCTCCCCCAGAGCTCTCCCCCAGAGCTCTCCCCCAGAGCTCTCCCCCAGAGCTCTCCCCCAGAGCTCTCCCCCAGAGCTCCCTCCCAGAGCTCTCCCCCAGAGCTCTCCCCCAGAGCTCTCCCCCAGAGCTCTCCCCCGGAGCTCTCCCCCAGAGCTCTCACCCAGAGCTCTCCCCATGAGCTCTCCCCCAGAGCTCTCTCCCAGAGCTCTCCCCCAGAGCTCTCCCCCAGAGCTTTCTCCCAGAGCTCTCCCCCAGAGCTCTCCCCCAGAGCTCTCCCCCAGAGCTCTCCCCCAGAGCTCTCCCCCAGAGCTCTCCCCCAGAGCTCTCCCCCAGAGCTCTCCCCCAGAGCTCTCCCCCGGAGCTCTCCCCCAGAGCTCTCCCTCCAGAGCTCTCCCCCAGAGCTCCCCCCCAGAGCTCCCCTCCAGAGCTCTTGGCGTGAAGGAGCTCCCAGAGGATCGTTCCCAGGGTAGTGAACAAAACATATCCTCAAGAGCGTGCGCAGACCTCTCTGGGAGAGCTAAACCAAGGAAAATTACCGATATACCGGATTCACATTCCCCCGGGCTCCGGCGCGGTGCCGGCTCGGGCTCTGATTCCGGCTCGGGCTCCGAACTTGGGCGAAACTCCGAGCTCGGGCTGGCTCGGTGGGCGACTGTGGCGCCGGTCTGCGTTCTCCTGTGGGCTTGGTTTGTGTCCCTTGGGTGCTCCTTTGGCCGCAGACTCTCTCAAGGGTGTCTGTTTCGAGCTCCCTTGAATGCTGTTTCGGCCGCGGGCTCTCTCAAGCGTGTCTGTTTCGAGCTCCCTTGGGTGCTGCTTCGGCCGCGGGCTCTCTCAAGGCTACGCGTGCGACTCTTCGCCCGCGCGGGCCTAGGTCGCACGCGTAACTTTCGCGAAGGACGACTCTTCTCATTCATCCCTGGTACGCGGCCACTCACTCTTGCCGACGCCTGCACACTTCCCCCCTTGCTAGGGGGGAGCGAGGGGGGTAGACCACCCTAAACCCTAAAAGCAATGACTCTGGGCGGATGGGGCGGGACTCAACGCACCCATCCATCCCCCCCTACACCCTGGTGAGGGGGGGATAGGATGGTTCTGCTCGGAAACCCTAAACCCTAAACCCTAAACCCTAAACCCTAAACCCTAAACCCTAAACCCTAAACCCTAAACCCTAAACCCTAAACCCTAAACCCTAAACCCTAAACCCTAAACCCTAAACCCTAAACCCTAAACCCTAAACCCTAAACCCTAAACCCTAAACCCTAAACCCTAAACCCTAAACCCTAAACCCTAAACCCCAAACCCTAGACCCTAAACCCTAAACCCTAGGGTGTTGAGGGTTTAGGGCGTTTAGGGTTTAGGGTGTTTAGGGTTTAGGGTGTTTAGGGTTTAGGGTGTTTGGGGTTTAGGGCGGTTAGGGTTTAGGGTGGTGCAAGTATAGGGCGTTTAGGGTTTAGGGTGTATAGGGTTTAGGGTGTTTAGGGTTTAGGGTGTTTCGGGTTTAGGGTGGTTAGGGTGTAGGGTGGTTAGGGTTTAGGGTGGTTAGTTTTTTAGGGTGGTTCAAGTTTATGGTGTTTAGGGTTTATGGTGCTTAGGGTTTAGGGTGGTTAGGGTTTCTGGTGTTTAGGTTTTAGGGTGCTTAGGGTTTCGGTTGTGTAGGGTTCACTGTGTTTAGGGTTTAGGGTGTTTCGTGTTGATGGTGTTTAGGGCTTATGGTGTTTAGGGTGTGCAGTGTGTAGGGTTTAGGGTGTTTAGGGTTTAGGGTGTTTAGGGTTTATGGTGTTTAGGGCTTCGGGTGCTTAGGGTTTAGGGTGCTTAGGGTTTAGGGTGTTTACGGTTCAGGGTGTTTAGGGTTTAGGGTGTTTATGGCTTATGATGTTTAAGGTTTAGTGTGTGTAGGGTTTATGGTGGTTAGGGCTTATGGTGTTTCGGGTGTAGGGTGTTTAGGGTTTAGGGTGTTTAGTGTTTATGATGTTTATGGTTTAGGGTGTATATGTTTTAAGGTGTTTAGTGTTAGGATGTTTATGACTTATGGTGTTTAGGGTTCAGGGTGTTTAGGGTTTAGGGTGGTTAAGGTTTATGGTGTTTGGGGTTTAGGGTGTTTAGGGTTTATGGTGTTTAGGGCTTCGGGTGTTTAGGGTTAATGGTGCTTAGGGTTTAGGGTGTAAGGTTTAGGGTGATTAAGGTTTAGGGTGTTTAGGGTTTATGATGTTTAGGGCTTTGGGTGATTAGGGTTTATGGTGTTTGTGGTTTAGTGCTTCGGGTTTAGGGTGGTTAGGGTTTAGGGTGAGGAAGGTGTAGGGTGCTTAGGGTTTGGGGTGTTTAGGGCTTAGGCTGTTAGGGTTTAGGGTGTTTAAGGTTGAGGGTTGTTAGGGCTTTTGGGGTGGTTAGGGTTTAGTGTGTTCAGGGTCTAGGGTGGTTAGGGTTTAGGGTGGTTCGTGTTTAGGGTGCTGAGGGTTTAGGGTGTGTATGGTTGAGGGTGGTCATGGTTTAGGGTGTTTAGGGTTTAGGGTGTTTAGGGTTTAGGGTGTTTAAGGTTTCGGGTGTTTAGGGTTTCTGGTGCTTACGGTGTGGGGTGCTTAGGGTTTAGGGTGTTTAGGGCTGCGAGTGTCTAGGGTGTATGGTGTTCAGGGTTTAAGGTGTTTAGTGTTTAGGGTGGTTAGGGTTTAGGGTGCTTAGGGTTTAGGGTGATTAGGGCGTTTAGGGTTTATGGTGTTTAGGGTTTAGGGTGTTTATGGTTTAGGGTGTTCAAGGTTTATGGTGTTTTTAGGATTTCTGGTGTTTAGGGCTTAGGGTGTTTATGGTTTAGGGCGTTTCGGAATTATGGTGTTCAGGGTTTAGGGTGTTGAGGTTTATGGTTATCAGGGTTTAGGGTGTTTAGGATTTAGGGTGGTTAGGGTTTATGATGGTCAAGGTTTATG